TAAATTAGCCAGGAAAGGCTTTCTGGAAAATATATGGTTTGAGCTGACCCTTGAGGGACATCTAAGACTAAAGTTTTCATTTTCTAATTAAATGAGACAGAAAACGGGTAGAATTTAGGCCAAAGAGGGCCCCAATCACGGTAATTTCGAAATTTTAGCCTAACAAAGGGTCACAGAAGTACTGGGAAATCTAGAAAAAATGCTTAGGATTGGCTTCCTAATCCTAGAGTTTTCAGGACCTAGAACTAGAGATTCAAATTTAAGTATATGGACTGGAACAAGGTCAGGCATAGCAGGTGGGGGATTAAATAGTGTGAGGAGTAAATAGATTAATAAAATCAATAATTTCTGTGATCATCATTTTATCATCTACCAATAACAAATGCACAAGTTTTCCTGTTCTATCAAGGCAGATGTCACATTCCCTGATGCTATAGAATCTAACTATGAGAATAGAGATCCTTTGTCTTGGGCACATGTGACTTCTCGTATCTTATAGTTCTAGCCTGAATGTGGACAGAAGAACAAATATCCTGTTCAGAAGGGTCCTTCCCTCCTGAAACCATGGGCTTTGGCTTCATCTTTGTTCCACCTATTTTGACTACTCTGTTCCCAATGTTATCCTTAATAAAAATCTGTTGGACCTGATTGAACAAATATTCCTAAAGCTCTTAAGCATAGTTACATGATGTCATAAGCAGAGTCCCTTATCCTAAACCAACAAAAGTATTGACTCTCTTTGTCTTCCTTAGACTTCAACCATTGTTATTTCTACCCACCTTTTCTCTAGTTCATGTGTAATATTTGGTTGTAATGGTAGAAGAAGGTTTTAAGCAATTACTGGTGTGTTCTGGTCCATTTGCATTTTGGAAAAAAAAAAGAAAATGTAATTATATTTAAAAGACCACAAATAGAAATTTTGAAAGGACTTGATGAAGGCAGAAGAGAAGAGGGAGCTTAAAAATGAAGGTCCATCTGATTCCATCTTTGCTGTAATTATGACCAATAAAAACTTCATGAATGGAAACTATGAGAGAAAAATAATGCATGGATGTTTTAAGATTATTATCCTTATACCCTTAAAAAAGGATTAAATTGCAGTGTAGTTAGCAAAAAGATCAGAGCCTATCTTTGGATATGGGGGCACGAAACTCAAAACAAAAATAAAAATAAATTGCACGAAAAATACCTATTTGCACATAAAATTGAAATGAATATTCCTCAGGGTTTGTTCCAAATTGCACTCATTTAAACTGTAATTAGAGAGAAGACTAGCCAATGTGTGGATAATACTAACAATACTGGTGAGATGATTAGCCCTTGGGATACCCAGCCAAAGATTGCTCTTCTGATAATTAGCTTCAGGATAGAAAGTCTAATATTTGCCAAGACCAAGTATATGTTGACAAAGATCCCCACATGGGCTGGCAGATATGTGCTTAGGATATAAAAGAAATTAGGGACTAAAGAACTAAGCTGTGAATTGGGAGATCTGGATGACATTTTCAAGCATATTACTCATTCTGATGGCCAGTTCTTGACACTTGCAACATACCCAGGGCATCCACAAAGGTGCATGCTTGGATCTTCATCCAAGACCTTGCCATTTCTTTACAAGAAGTGCAGTTATTTGACAGCCTCTAGCTGTTAGTGCCTTTAACATCTGCCTCAGCTTTCAAGTCAAGGCCTGGGTATTCTTGGGCAGTTTCCAGCCAAGGACTGAGTATGACAGGGACATTTGGTCCAGGCCATTTTTACCCAACATGGGGTGCCTCCAATAGGCAGATTCTGCTCCAAAGCTCCCCAGTGAGGTGGCAAAGTCTACTTCAGGCAGAAGTTCTCACTTACTAACCATGGACTTTTTTTTTTTTTAAGATTTTATTTATTTATTTGACAGAGAGATACACAGTGAGAGAGGGAACACAAGCAGGGGGAGAGGGAGAGGGAGAAGCAGGCTCCCCGCAGAGCAGGGAGCCCGATGTGGGGCTCAATCCCAGGACCCTGGGACCCTGGGACCATGACCTGAGCTGAAGGCAGATGCTTAACGACTGAGCCACCCAGGCACCCCAACCATGGACTTTAATGTATTAAAAGCTCATCATTAAACACAAGGCCATCCAGGTTTTCCTCTATGCTCTATCTTGTAGAAGTTTTATATATTTTTTGAAGTTTTATATTTTTTAAATTTATCTGTAAGCCTATGATTCATTTTGAGTTAATTTTTGTGAAAAAGATAAGATCAGTGTCTAGATTCTTTTTTTTTTTTTTGCATATGGATTTACAGTTGTTCCAGCACTATTTGATGAAAGGACCATTGTTTCTCCATTGAAATGCCTTTGCTCCTTTGTCAAAGACCAGTTGACTATATTTGTGTGGGTATATGTCTGGGTTCTTTATTCTCTTCCATTGATCTATTTGTCTATTCTTTCATCAATATCACACTGTTCTGATTCCTGTAGCTTTATAGTAAGAATTTAAGTTGGGTAGTGTCAGTCCTCCAACCTTGTTCTTCTTCTCCAATATTGTGTTGGTTTTTGAGGTTTATACTTTCCATTTAAGCTTCAGAATTATTTTGTTAATACCCAGAAAGCAACTTGATGTAATTTTGATTGGGATTTCATTGAATGAAGCTGGGAAGAATTGACTTTTCATGATAATGAATCTTCCTATCCACAAACATAGAATATTTCTCAATTTGTTTAGATCTTTTTGATATTTTTTATTACAATTTTGTAGTGTTCTTTGTATAAATATTGTACATATTTTGTTAGTTTTACACCAAAACATTTTATTTTGGGGGGGTGCTAGTATAAATGATGTCATGTTTTTAATGCCAAATTCCAATTGTTCATTGCTAATATGTAGAAAAGAAATTGGCTTTTGTGAATTAATCCGGTATCCTGCAACCTTGCTGTCATCACTTATTAGTTCCATCAGATTTTTTGGTCAATTCTTTCAGATTTTCTATATAGATTCTTATAGCAAGTGTGTATATACAAAGGCAGTTTTATTTCTTCCTTTCCAATTCATTTACCTTTTATTTCCTTTTCTTGTCTAAGTACATTGGTAGGACTTTCAGTGTTGAATACAAGTGGTAAGAAGGGACGTTCTTGCTTTGTTCCTTATTTTATGGGGAAAGCATCTAGTTTCTCATGATGTTAGCTATAGGCATTTTGAAAATGTTCTTTATCAAGTTGAGGAAATTCCCCTCTATTCCTAGTTTGCTGAAACTTTTTTAAATCATTATAGGTGTTAGATTTGGTCAAATGCTTTTTCTCCATCTGTTCATATGATCATATGCCTTCTATAGCCTGTTGATGGGATAGATTACAGTAATTGATTTTCAAATGTTGAACCAGTCTTGCATACCCGGAACAAATCCCATTTGGTCAGGATGTATGATTCTTTTTACACATTGTTGCATTTGACTTGCTAATATTTTGTTAGGGATTTTTGCATCTATATTCATGAAATATATTATCTGTAGTTTTTCTTGCTTTTAATATTTTATCTGAGTTTGGTATGAGTTTGCTGGCATCATAGATGAGTTAGGAAATGTTCCTTTTGATTCTATTATCTGGAAAAGATCATAGCGAATTGGTATAATTTCTACCTTAAATAATGGGTAGAATTCACCAGTGAAACTATGAGCATGATTCTTTCTGTTTCGGAAAGTTATTAATTATTGATTCAATTTTTTAAAAAATTGTTAAGATATGTTTTGTGGTCCTAAATGTGGTCTGTCTTGATGAATGTTACATTTGAGCTTGAGAATGTATCTTCTGCTGCAGAACTACCCCTAAAGTAAAAGCCAGTTTGGAACCTAGCAAAACAGATCTCAAGGGGATCAAATTTATCTCTAAGGTACTTAATAACCAGCCAGAAGAATGCCCAACAATCTTTAGAGTAAGACAACAAAATCAAAACTTCAACAATGTAAATTCACTCCTTTATAGTGCTCCCTATTACGGATTTTCATAATTTATTGTTTGTCCTATTTTTATGGAATTTTTTTGTTTTCAGTTTTGTTTTGTTTTTAATGAATATGGCTACTATGAACATCTTTGTCCTGTCCCAGGCATACATATATAAAAGGATCTCTAGAGTATATGCCTAGAAGTAAAATTACTGGTTCTAGGGGTATATACATTTTGTTTTACTTTTTGAGATAAGGCCAAATTATTGTCCAAACTGGTTGTGCCAATTTACACTTCCACCAACAGTGTATATAATTTTTTGGTTGTTCCTCACCCTTATCAATACTTGTTAGAATAAGACATTTTTACCTTTCGATTAGTGGATCTCTCTTTTTTGGAAATTTCTTCTTTCACTAACTTCTGCCTCCTATTATTACTATATTGTTTTGCAGTAATTTTTCTATCTTTATATTTCCTCTAACCTATTACATTTTAACAATAGGTCCCAGGTTAGACCCAGAAAAAATTGGTTATATTTTTGTCTCCCTTTTATTGAAATTTTATTCTGTACTAAACATTGTTCTAAGCATCATGCATGCATTTATTATTTTATTTAATTATTTATGCAACACAGTCCTTCAGAATATATATTATATTTACTATTATGATTCCTACTTCATAGATTTAAAAAACAGTAACTTACAGATATAAAATACTTTCCTAAGGCCACACCAAGGTCATTGGCATACAACATATAGTTTGTAATTACAGTGCCAGTGGCAAAACTGGATTGGAAGCCAGTTTTTTTTTTTTTTAAGAATTTATTTGTTTATTTGAGAGAGAGAGAATGAGAGAGAGAGAGCATGAGAGGAGGGAGGGTCAGAGGGAGAAGCAGACTCCCTGCTAAGCAGGGAGTCTGATGCAGAACTCGATTCTGGGACTTCAGGACCATGACCTGAGCCGAAGGCAGTCGCTTAACCAAATGAGCCACCCAGGCGCCCTGGAAGCCAGTTTTGATTCATTTCAAAACCTCAGCACTTTATACTAGGCTTCACCGCTTGTCAAAAAATACTTTAGGCTTGTTCGCGGGCCCCGACGCCGCCGCGCTCAGTCCTGCTCCTCGGTCGAGGGAAGATGGTGGGCCGGAACAGCGCCATCGCCGCCGGTGTCTGCGGGGCTCTTTTCATCGGGTACTGCATTTACTTTGACCGCAAGAGACGGAGTGACCCCAACTTCAAGAACAGGCTTCGAGAACGAAGAAAGAAACAAAAGCTTGCCAAGGAGAGAGCTGGACTTTGCAAGTTACCTGACCTTAAAGATGCTGAAGCTGTTCAGAAATTCTTCCTTGAAGAAATACAGCTTGGTGAAGAGTTGCTAGCCCAAGATGAATATGAGAAAGGTGTAGACCATCTGACAAATGCAATTGCTGTGTGTGGACAGCCACAGCAGTTGCTCCAAGTGTTACAGCAAACTCTTCCACCACCCGTGTTCCAGATGCTTCTGACCAAGCTTCCAACAATTAGAGAATTGTAAGTGCTCAGAGCTTGGCTGAAGATGATGTGGAATGAGAAAATGTCAACATAATCTCAATTAAAAATATTTTTAAAATATTAAGTCGGAAGATGAGCAGCTCTGGGGGAAAAAGGGCAAATAGGCTTGTTATGGACTGTCCTACACTGAAATCTACCAAAGTTAATTTTTACTTTGTGTAGATCCATTCGTCTGTTTTATTTATTTTTTCCCAGTGAAAAGTGTATTTTGATAGAAAACTTTTCATTTTATAAATACACTATGAGTTACAAAATATCATGGATTTATTTTATTCCTAAAACGTGCAATTAAAGTGTGTACATATAAAATCACATTACTTAGGTGGAAAATACTCAGTGCTTAGTTTTGAAAGATAGGCAGAAAAAGTATAGGAGAAAGCTGAAGAATGCACGTTTTTTTAAGCTAGTACATTTGCTCTACATAAAAGAATTGGATGGAAACTATCAAAACTGAGCATTAAAATCTTTGAGAGATTATTTTTTTCCATTTAATCTCTTAAAAAAAATACTTTAAAAAAAAAACCTAGTTGCCATTTGTTAAATATTTTACTAACACAATTTTTCTAGTGTATGGGTTTCACAGTTCTGATAGTTGGTTTTATTAAGAATTCTAACAACCGCACACCCCTGTTCACTGAGATCCAAATGCTCACATCACTTTTTTTTTTTTAAAGGGGACATTAATAGTTTTCTAGATTTGGACAAGGCTATTTAGCCATTTACAAAAAAGCCATACTCCATTTGTGGTCTTGTAACTATAGATGCATATATTTTTATTGTCCTGATTTTAAGTTCAGACTTCTTTATATCCTCCTAAACCCTAGTATAAGTTGCTGTGAAGTTATACATCTATGCGTAAGTTCCTAAAAATGAGGCATTGAAACATAAGCCATTAAAATTTGGGCTCAAATGACCTATCACACAAAATCAGTGTGGATATGAAGCACATTCATCATTTTTTTATTTATAAAAAGTACAAACTTCCCCAGTATGTTTTTGTGAAGTGTGCTAGTTAGAACTCCCGGTGGGTGAAGTATACCATCTAATGAAAGCCATTACTAGAATCCTCTTTGTTGTTTTGGAGAAGCTTATTTATGTGCAAAAATTCAATATTCTGTCTTCTCTTATCAGCTGTTGGCATGGGATTTTAAATGTAAATTACCTTGTAATATAAATGTTTATATTGGTCAAGCTGAGAAGAATAAGTTGTTAAAACAGTATGCTAAGATGCTTGTTCAAAAATGACATCAGCTTTGTATTCACATGCAGCTTTCAGCTTGGATTAATGTAGTTACATTTAGGCTCAGTAAAGGCAGATGGATTTTGCAGCACACTTACAGTTTTGATGGGGAACAAAATAATCTTAACAAAAAGACTAGAATAAAAGTTCAGAATTTCATCTGGGGTTTTTAATAGGCATAGTAAAGAACACAATGTTGAAACACAACTGTATTCCCTTTCAATTTGTTTTTAAAACTAGAGCAGTTACTGTTTGCTGTAATGATCTTTTTCTCTGGTTTACAAGTAAGTAAAAGATGCTACATTTTGTTTTTAAGCATGAAAATTTTCCCTGTTGATGACAATCTGCTCTATTGGATATCTTCATTAGGTCAGTACATAGTAGAGTAACAGATTGATTTGCAAAAACTGTGGGAATAGAATGTTACTTCCAACTTTCATCATTGCAATAATTTGACAAGTTCAACTCTACAGAGATTATCTCTCTATGTCTTCTAACAATTCTCCAGAGATTGGATTTGAGATTACCAACAGGGTAAAGTATTATTTTAGATTGCAGTTCCTACATTGGTTGTATTATTCCCAAGTTTATCCATAGAAATGAAAGAAAGGCTGGCTTTTTTATTCAATGATTGTCAGTTTATTTAGAAATAAATTATTAGGAGGCCATTGCTGGACACCACATACTAAAATATGTCATTACTCACCAACCTCCTTCAATGAATTTAGAGTTCTGGAGAAAATAATGCTACAGTGCCTTCCACATTATGTGTAGCAGTGATTTTCAGATATTATTGTGCATTCTAATCATGCAAGGAGCTTAAATCACAGCCTATTTCCCATCCTGACTTCAGAAATTCTGATTCAGCAGCTCTGAGACAGAGTCCAGGTACCTGCATTTTAAAGAGCACATCACCTTTAGGACCCCACTGTGAGACCCAATCAGTGATCTTTGTTGACAAGGGGATGACAGGCTCTTCTTGGTTCCCAGTCTCTATAAAAACCCTTTCTCCAGCTGGAGAAAATGACCGTCAGTCTCTCTCTCTTACAACCAAAACAGTATTTCTCAAAAGGTGGTAAAGGGACCACCTACATTGGTCCCTTATGTATAGAAGATCTCTTATACGTAAGGTCCTTACTAAAGTTGTATATTCTGAAGCCCCACTACAAGCCACATTGATCCATTTCACACTTCAAGGCAGCCATCCCAGTAAAATTAATCTTGAGAATTTAGATAAGTTTGCTGAAATAATACTAAATTCTCAGTTTTCTTTTTCTTTTTTTGCCTTTGCTCTTCGTTTCTTAATTCTCTTCATAATATGTCTATTTGATTTTTAGCCTCCTTTCTCTTTCTTTTTGGACCCTGTGAGCAATTTTTCATCTTGAGACTTTGGAGTAGATAAGAATTTCCCAAGGAAAAAGACAAACAAATATGGGGGAAAAAAATCTTATTTTAGACATGTTGACTAGAGTATTCCTATTGGATTGGGATCCTGATAGCTGTAGACACCTACCAAGAAAGCAAAAAACATTAGCCCAAAATCAAAGTCATGTGGAGTGGCTACCATACAGGAAAAGTTAAAAGAAATATCAATGCAGAAAATTTTTTTAAATCAATAAATCAAAAGTCTCATAATTGAATAGATCTCCAGATATGCTAAGCTGCTTTAGGAAACAAAATCTTTTCCCCTTTGCCTCACTACTTGTTGTCTCTTTGGTCCTGAGTCTTAAGAAAAGTCCTTATGGTGGGCATGGTAATGTGGTGCTCGACACCCATTCTTCAGTCTTTCTGGTGTGTCCAGAAATGGACACTGGAAAAGCAAAACCTATATTTTCTATATTCTTTTGTAGCAAGGGTTTGGATGTGATCTAGGTTTAGCCAATCTGGTGGATTTGTGAAAGATTAAGAAAGCAGAAGTCAGGTGGGAATACTATGGCTCCTTCTGAAGTGTCTACGCAGCATTATGAACATGGAGATTTGGGGCTCATGTGTAGACTATCAGTGATTGTCCCAGGTCCAGACACTAGCTCTGTGAGGGTATCCACGAAGTTCAGATTCTTTGGACAAGGTGTGGATTTGGAGCTGGCAGCATTGGCAGCTCCTGGAAAGGTGCGGTGTGGGTTCTGGAGTAGTTGCAGGAGTGGCTTCTTCCCGATGGCGGACCATGGAAGAGCCGGTGATTAACATAGATATGTCCTGAATCCCTCTTGGTTCCCTTACGAGGCCTAATCTTTGGTATTTTTCTAGAAGTCATTACAGTTCTACCCTCGAACTTGCTCCTCCAGCCTTTCCAATGATTCTATAAATAACTTGCCCCTGTTTAAATGTTTAGGATAACTGAATTCTGATTGTTACTGGCCTCCAGTTAATGATTCTGGACTTTTTCTTGTAGATATTGAGGGCCAAGTAAAGACATGACATAAGTGTATGTATATATTATAAATACCCATGAAACAATTTCCTAAACCAGGGAACTCTGGCTGAGCACTTAACTTCACTGTGGTCAACAGTGAGATCTGTTGAGGAGCTAGAAAAATAAGATGATATTTAGGATGTAAAATTTTTCCAGATGGGAAATCATAAATTTGATTACATTTTTCCAAAATCTGTGCCACAGGTTGTTATTGTTGCTCTTAACACATAACATGAGTATGTAATTTTAAAAAGTTGAATTTACATTGCAGAATTTCTTATATCCTTTAGTAGCTACTATGTATATGGCTCTCCAAGAAAGAAATTTAATAGACAACTTTTCCAAAGGAATCATCTTTTTGTTTTTCCTTCCCCCCACCTTTTTGGTCTAGAGACATTAGGGATACAAGGTCTAGTGATGGGACATTTCTTCTCTCAACATTAGATGTTTTCGATTCATTCTTATTGCTGTATGTACCTGTAGTTCCTTCATTTTCACTGCTATCTAGTGTTCTATTTTATGAATATCTATAGTTTATTCATATATTTTTATATAGATGGACATTTAGATTAACTTTTCTTTTTTCCTGCTAAGAATGTTTGCAGACATGTCTTCTGGTGCATGGGCACACTCCTTAAGTTATACACTTGTAAATGGAGTTGCTGGGTTGTAGAGAGAGAACATCATGACCAGCTCTCCTAAGGAATATGAAGCTATTTTCCAAGTAATTTTACCAAATTATATTTTCAAGAGCAGTGGATGAGAGTGTCCATTTCTTCCATATTCTCATCAATGCTTGCTAATACTAGATATTTTTAGCTTTCCTTTCAGGTAGGAGTAGTTTTAATGTTTTAATGTAGCTTTAATGTTCATTTCCCAATTATGAATGCTACAGTGAGAAAAATGGCATGTTCTTTCATGCACTCAATAAACATTTACTGAGCTAGAAACTGGGAGGACAGCACTGAACGAGACAGAAAAGACCTCTGTTCTGATGGAGCTGACATTTAAATGAAGTCCATAGACAAGAAGCAAGCAAGCAAACAGAGAAGTAGTGATATGTGCTGTGATGCTTGTAGGGAGGGTGATGGGCTAGAGAGAGGAAGGGAGTCTACTTTTGGGTAGGTGGAAAGGAAGGCCTCTCTCACAAAATGACTTCTAATAAAATAGGTAGAAAGATGGGGTTGACATTACTCAGGGTAACTCTAGATTATCATCCAAACCAGGGCACTTTTGAAAAGACTAAATGACAGGACAGTGTGTGTAGACTGGGACTGCCCAGAGCAAACCATACTATATGGTCTCCTAACAATTGTAATTTTATTTGTAGCGACTTTTCCTCTCCTCTAGGGCTTAAGGAACCCCATGAAAACTGACCCTCCGGTTTTTCTCATTACCCACTGCAGCCATTAAAGTGGCAACACATTCCAGACAGGGTGGTGACAAGCTGCAAGGTACTGGAGTCCTCATTATCTCAGACCTTGAGTAGAGGAGTAGAGTCCCCATAAAGCCCTGCTGGAAATGTAGAATGAATGAGAAATAAGCATTTTGTCATTGTGCGTTAAGACATTAATAATTGGGATTTTTCGGGCCACCTAACCTA